CAACTCATAGACTTCCTAAATAAAAAAAAATGATAAAAATAAAGTATTTTCAGAATCCTGAATTTTACCTTACAGAAAATTTCAACAAGGAAAACTCATCAAAGCGAAGGTTATTGTTCTTTGCTTATGTTAGAATACACGTGTGGGTCTGTCGGCAAACATTAATTTCTGGCAAGGGTTCGATGCCCTGAAGTACCAGTGATGAAAAAATCTAAACAAAAAAAGGATAATCCTATTGAAAAGGTGAGTTAAAAACATTGAACAGTTAATTACAGTGGTGGAAAGAAGTGGTGCAAGAAGCATTTACGATGCAGTAAAAAGCTGCACCCTCTTTAAGACCAGCTTTAATACCCGTAATATTCTCTCGGATCCTCACCAATATATATATCTATATATATATATATTGCAATAAATAATACTTTGCTTTAAGCCGGATGTATTTCGCTGTTTTTATTTTATTTTATGTAGTGTGAGTTGTTATTCAAAATTTATTCACATTCCTACTGCAGCTTCAGGGAGGTTATTGCACATATCGGCTTTTTCATAGCTTTGTTTATCAAGCAAGGTACAACATTCCAATGCAGAGGGTTTATTAACCTCTGTTTTATTAAAGGTTATTCTTAATGGACGAAGAAATACCTATATTTTTATTTATTTTATTAATAAACGTATATTTTACAAACAAGCATATATATTTTCAATATCCATACACTTGTTTGGATCTGAAAACTTTAAGCCCTAAAACAACTATCAAAATCGTCATCGTTTTTAATTAACTTTATTCCTCTACTTCAAACACATGCTTATTTTACTTGTATTCTTTTTATCGGTCCCTGGCTTAGCCATCTGGAGCCCTTATAATTCGTGATACAGATTCCTTTTTATCAAATCATTAACATCCGTCTAAAATTTTATGACTGGCTTCATCTCACCGTAATCTTTTTATTTATGAAAATTCTGTGAAATGTGAATTTACTTAATTTGGAGATCGGAAAACTTTGCCTATTTAATTAAATAATAAAAACGTCATGAAAACCCTTCCTATTGAACCATAATATAATTTGATCATAAGATCGACAAAAAATGTGGCCTACAAAAATATTGGATCGTTTGGCATAACCTCCACTCCAAAAATGTCAAAATAACGAGGTTATATAGGCCAAACGGCCCAATATTTTCATAGGCCTCTTTTCTTGATTTTATGATAAAATTATGGCCACTATGTACCGTTATGTTAATTTTATTCTTAAGGGACTTTGACCTAGAATAATAAAGTAACATTTCAGTTAATTAATTAATTTAATGAATAGGAAAAGGACACACAGATAAGCTGAGCGAAGATAATTTAATAAAACAAAATACCGTGTTTCCAGAAACCAACAGTATTTAGTTAAATAATAGACCAAATTATTGACATGTGAACTAAGGTTTGATGTAACTTGATTAATTATTTTTAGTTATTCATTAATAAAAAAAAAAAAAAATAACACACTTCTTGAGAAAAAAAAAATGTAAGGATGAAGGAAAAATGTTTATGAACTGCTGTTCAATTGGATTGGTGTCCTTTGTTTTAAATATTCCAAGTAAATCATCCAGGGCTCATTTTATTGTAATTTTGAAAAGTTAATTAACATTTTAATATTCATTTCGGTTATTTTTCCAAAAATTTACTTTTTCAAAATTGGATTTGTTTGTTCTCGCTTGAGCTGATTGATTGTGACCAGTTCTTCATTTTTTACTGGTACAGTTCTGTATTTTGTTAAATTTAACAAACCTTAGGTGAAAGAATAAATTTGTTTTGAACCGTGAAGTACCTCACTCTTTTCGTTTTAAAAATAACTCGATAACTAGATAACTGATTTCCTTGGTATTTACCTGTTAAATTAAAACAGTACAATTTCTGACTTCCAACAGTATTGTAAGCCTTAGGGGGCGAAGTGGCCGGGCGGGTAAACTCGCTTGTTATACACACATTGCCTAGCAACCTGATAATAACTTGAAGATTACGGGTTCGAGTCCTGGTTTCTGGGGCATTTCACCCTAGCATTAATCCCACGCCCTCACTCTTTGACCGGAAATAATCCTGTATAGCTGAAAAGGGGATGTAGGGGAGAAGAAACAAAATAATCTCAAGCCTTTTGGAAATTTATGTAAAAATGTGAAGTTTAATGTTGAAAAACGTTTATTATGCTATTCATGCTAGTAGTGGGTTGAGTAGACAATTGCATTTGCTGTGTTTGGGTTAAATTGCTTCAAGATCATTTTCGCTGTAAAGAGATTTTTATATGGCATTTCATTGGGTTACTTAGTTCGTTAGTTAAATAAAATGTAATAAATGCAATCAATTTCTGGCTATCAACAGTATAGTAAGCCTTAAGGGGTGGATGGCAATACAAAATTAAAGATTATGAACTTCATTAAACACGGACATAACGGGTACTTGTTTTGAAAAAATATTTTAAAATTCCTTTCCTGGTTCTATAATATTATAATTACAGTGAAATAGAATGAAATATCTATGGGAGTTAGTATTTTTTACAGAGACAGCTGAGGAAGATGGTAAACTTGGAAGTGGAAGGAGGGAGATGGTAAAGGTGGAAGTGGTAGGAGGGAGATGACGCCAAGAGCTGGATGACCCTGATGGTAAGGATCAGAAGAAGACCCATTGGCTAAGGTCAGTTGAGGGTCACTGACTGGGGGGTACTAACCTCTAATTACCACCCTCATTACCCACCACCTCATTCTTCTGCCTCGCCGCTTTTTACCTCTGCTAACGGTAGTGCCTCCTCGCCAATAAAACGGAATTCCCTTCTTACATTACTTCTTCCTAATCAGTCCTGGTAATCCTCCGTCCAAAAAAACCATTACTATTCCCACGGCATTTTAATAACATTCCAAAACGACAGAGAGTAAAGGGATAAAAAAAAAATACTGTAAGGTTGATCTCGTCAGCTTTTGCAATTAGTTTTATCTTCTTCTATTTTCTCTTTTATGTTTCATTCAGGAAGGTTTTATGTATTGGAGCAGTCTCTCTTAACAGTTTTCCACTCGCCTCGTTCTTTGAGATAGTGATAATTTCAATTAGGCTGTTGGAAAATTAAATAAGAAATGAAAAAGGATGGTTTATACAGAACAAGATATAAGTTACAATAAAAACTAAAAGTCCGTGCACACCTATCTTCAGCGATCCCTTTGTCCTTAACGCGCTCTGTGCGACTGTGATCATGAATTAGAAAGTAACACAACTATATCGCAACGGTCGGTACTATCATATCGCCTGGGCTTACCGCGTTCCTTACGCACAAGCCTTGAGAAATAAATTTGGCCGAAAATGATTTCATATAACGTTTCTTGGCATATTTCGGCAAGTTTATCAGTTCCTCACAAAAGTTAACTAGGCCTTTTGAAATGTATGAGCTGACCCATTTAGCTCTAAACCATTAACTTTAAAATGCGGTATTGCAATATTTCGTGGTCATGTTTTGAAAAGGTTCTAACTAACAAATACAGCCAAAATAAGTTTTCTGTCAGAAACCACTCCCAACAAGTTTATCTATGCCCCAAATGAATTTTAGAGCCATCAGATGAAAGATAAATTAGCTAGCAGTGTGACAACTTCATTTCTGTAGTGTTTTCTGTAAATATCAAATGTTAATGAATTATTCTCAATTGAAATGGTCAGATCAAAGAAGTTAATTTTATTTGAATCTATTTCCATAGTGAATTTTATATTGGGATATATATTATTAATATCTGTAACAAATTTATTTAATTCGTCTATCTTCCCTTCGCATAAACAGAAAACATCGTCAACAAACCTGAAACAGTGTCTAACATGCGTTTTAAAAATTTCTATAGAGAATATTGTTTTTTCTATACTGCCCATAAACAGCTGAGCACTCATTGGGAATAAGGAAGAGCCAATCGGCAAAGCGTCCATTTCGAAAAAAATGCTATTAATTTTTTTTAAACCTATTTATTGAGAGATATTACAATCTGTTTCAATTAAGGACATTTATAATAGTGTTCAGAGCGCACATTCACACTCTATCAATAATAAATAAAAATAAATAATACAGAAAAACAATAATACTAAAAGTAAATGTATATAAACTAATAAAAATAACTACCTACATATATGCTTCTATAAAATATCTAAAACATAAAAAAAATATTCACTGAAGATCTCCGTGCCAAGCCTTTCTTCCCACTCGAGGAACGAAAGGCAGGACTCTAGAAGATCCCAGCGCCTCTAAATCAGCCACATTACTGGTATTAAGGATTAGTAGAGGATGATCAGAGGCGCTATAAGTTGTTAAATTAAAAAAAAAATGTTTAAAGCACAATGAAAGGAGAGCCATTATTTCTTGACATAGAAATTGATTAACGTTACATTTATATAATAATAATTCATATGGTTTTTCGTATTCTATTAAAGCAATGCTAATAAACAAATTTATAACGTATAACCAGAATGCATGAATTTGAAATTGAGATATCTTTATTAATGTCAATTAATTCTATTGATTTTTTTATTGTACTTGTTGCCTTGAAATTAGTTAAACTTATAATTTTTTTATCTATTTTTTTTTGCTAACCTGAAAATAAGAGTATATTAAAAGAATTTCCGAGGATATAATATTCGATAAAATATAGTAATTTAAGAAAATTATGGCGAAATAAAAAATGAAAGTATTTTTCGAACCATTTTAGAAAAAAAAACACATTTATTTTTGTAATTATTAAATAATTTAGGAAAGCCAAATTTATACCCGATTGTTCAAATCCATCACTATTTGAGTTTCTGACACCTTTAAACAAAATAGTATATGGTCCATCTACACAAAAAATGTGCATTAAAGTTCACACTTTTTACAAAATTGTAAGTGGTGGTGGGCGATAATTTAATGTTGGTTGTGTCATTGAGCTGAATGGAGTTTTAACTGATAAAAAACACCAAGGTCCCATTGGCTGGGTGCGGTAGTCAGTTCGCTTTAAAGTTCGAACAGAATGCAATTATAATGGGCTTCTCATTTATTTTTTTAGCATTTAATGTTATGTGCTCAATGTGCTCTGCGCGATTCCTTAAATCAGAAACGTCTGTTAAGTAAGGTCAGTATAGCTTCCTCACCGTTTTCATTAGCTACAAAATATTTTTATTACAACATCTAAATTTTTTTGTATGAGAATAAAATCTCTGGGAGAAGTCGTTTTCGAAAATTCAGTAATCCCTCAACATATACGCGTTTGATATCCACTAGTTTTGTTCATCAGCGAATACTAATATGCAAGAGAGTTCCACATTTGCAGATTGCATATTTGATAATTCGTGATTAAAACAACGAATTTCAGGGTTTACTCAACATGCAAATCATTCTGTCAGTGCAAAAGGTAGTATGTAAAAATTTAGTGTTTTACAGGAGAGCATAAAAACTAATAATTTCTTCATGATTGATTAGTATAATTTCATATTTCATTGTCGTTTAATATTTTCCATTTTCAAACTACTTATATTAATTTCACCCTTCAATATGTCAAATATAGAATAAATTTGAAAATTTCTACATTCCACCTTTTGCCATAACAGTAGTTATATATACTTAATAGGTATGTTTTCACAAGTAAAATGGATGGAACAAAAAATCCATAGGAATAATTCAACGTTTAGTTTCTTCGGAGTTAACGAGACCAATACTATCAATACCAATACCAATACTACTCTAAGGAGAGATCCATTTTGATAAATGGGATATCAAGCGAAAGAGGATTTCATGGAGAAGTGACGAATCTCAATTTCAAACCGTAAAACCTTATATAATTATTTATTTTTTTAAATTTAATTTTATTGAAATTTACAACAGTAAACATATAGGCAGCTAGTAAATCTGCTATAGGAATATATAACATGGAAGTACTTATGAAGAAGCTACCCATTGGTAACACTTCAAAGATAAATTAATTTAGGAGGTCCCTTGGCCATCTTCTTTCCAGACGCCTCGGAGGGTTGTCAGGAATTGTGTTGTATGAAAGGTTACAAACTAGAAGATTGGGGTGACCAAAGAGTTTGGAATGAAAAGAGGTATATCTAGTTCGAGCCAAGTCTTCCGCAAGAGGAATGAGCTTGATGGATAATTTTATTTGTTACATAATAAGGAGCATTTAGGATTTTTCGGAAGAATTTGGATTGTAACGATTTGGACGGGAAGAATTTTATGTTTTAGAAATATATAAAACTGATATTCACTTAATTATCTGTTATTCGAGCCCTAACTTTCCTCCAAATTAGAGATGTAGACGTATTAAGGAAAACACGTTTGCGCATATATAAGAGAAAGTAGATGACAGATTTCAATGAAATTGATAGTATGTAATGTTTTTATTAATACCTGCCTTTTTTGATTTTCACTGCCGAAAGTAGGGAAGCATTGGTAAAAAAAAAAATTAGGCTCAGAATTGAAAATTCCCAATCGCGTTTTACGTTTCAGACATCAAGGATCATATTTGGTTCGGTGTCTATCTGTAGTCAAATCGATATAACGGGCATATCACCTACTACCGTTTATCCGATGTTCATGTAATTTTCAGGGATTGTGCTAGTCGGTGTCTTGATGGTCCCATATCAATTTCATCAAATTTAGACACCTACCCACACAATACCTGAAAATTTCATGAAGATCGAAAAACGGTAGTAATAATCGGATAGTAGGTGATATGCCTGTTACATCGATTTGACTACAGATAGACAGACGCTGAACCAAATATGATCCTTGATGTCTGAAACGTAAAACGCGAGCGGAAATTTTCGATTCTGAGCATACAATTTTTTTAACCTCTCGCAGGAACAAAATGCTTCCCTATCTTCGGTAGTGAGGAAGCAATATTTACTTATAAACCGGTGATTTTAAATAGAACCGTTGTTTGTTTTTATTTTCAAGTACAATGTTTAATATAAAAAAGTTTGCCAAGTAAGGGAGTATAGTTCCTTACTAGTTCAATTGGTCATCTAAGAGAAATCAATACAAATAACAAGCGTGTAATATTAAATAACAAATAAATATTGCTTATCAATAGTTGTTACAAGGGATAGAGGGAGTTTCTGGACGAAGCCCCTGCCCTGCTCTTCCCCAAAGTTAAAAAATAATGTTTTTTCAATGGTCTGTAGTAGTTTCTATGATTTTTTTTCCCCCATGAGTGATTTTTTTTCTTTTTAAAATATAACATATGCACTTTAGCTACCAAATGTAAGCACTTGTCAAGTAAATGAAAAAAAAATGTTACTCCCCTCTAACCTCCCACAAAAAAAATTCAATCTAAAATCCTGAAAGAATAAGGAATACATCTTGAAATTTCTGAGGTTAAAAAAAATTGATTATAGCTCAACTGTGTTAGAGGAAAATATGTTAAACATAATTTTAAAAGCTTACATTTAGTAAGGAAATTTCATCGTACTGAAACAAGTGGTTTCCATTGTATAATTTTAATTTTCAGATATTATTTATAATTTTTTCGTCACTCTCGATTAGCTTCTACGACATTCTACATTAGTTGTTTTTTTCTAAAATTCTAAGCTCTCCGATATACCTTCGCATGCGTATACCTTCTGACTACTATTTCCCGAGATTCATTTAAGCCGAACGGTCTAACTTGTGTGCACAGCACCCCGCGATGCCTGGCAACTTGATAAACAAAATTTGGAGACAATAAAATTACGACTTCGTGTCCCGGTGCCTGAGGCTCTTTTAAATTCTCCACCCTCACTCCGAGAAATGGCAGTCAATTTAAATGGCCCGAGAAAACCCCGAATAACTTAAAAAGGCTAGGTAGAGGAGAATGAGAAAAAGAAAAACAGTTAGTGAAATTAAAAACAATATTACACGGTGGGTCAGACTCTCCTTACCGTGCATCTCCCCTCCTCCTACATACCTATAAATTGCATATCGTTGTGTTCCTTGTAACTAGAGAGAAACACTTTATTTTCATAAAATATAAAATATAAAGGATTGCTGCCCAATTACATTGGGTTGCTATACACACAGCATACTCTTCTATCCTTAAGACAATATATGAACTTATATATAAATATACAGAAGTATTAGTTAATATTAGTAAAACAGAAATATATATATATATACATTTTTATTATTTTATTTATCCTTATAATTTTTTTTTTTTTTTTCCTTTTTCCCTCTTCTCATTGTTCATGCTTTTTTTTTTTTTTTTTTTTTTTTTTTTTTTATTTAACATTAAGTTTCCCTTTCTCTCACTTCTCTCTCTTTATCGCTATTGTTTTCAATTATTCACTAAAAAAATAAATAAACAAATACATAAATTAAAACTCTCGGGCTAGCCATGCACGTGGTGGTGAATGATTCCCAGGGAGTCGAGGACTATATTTTCAGCCAACCTCGCTACGTCCTTAATGTCGACACCTAGTTCCTCGAGGAAGCTCCTTGTTCTTTTTGGGATAGTTCCGCGAGACCCAAACCAGAGGCCTCTCACGGTGAACTCTCTCTCTCCGAAGGTCTCACGGAATTTCTCTTTTAGGAAAGGGATACATTTATCGTACGTGTTCTTCTTTTCCCTTTCCACTTCACCCGCCTGATCGAGGTCATTGCTCTCAAAGCGGACAGTTGGATCCAAGATCAGCGCTGTCCTTCCTGTCTTGGGAAATGCGACGATATCAGCGTATCTCGTAGAGCCCTCACTATCGATGCAATATACCTCGTCAAAGCAGGTGAATTTTTTTTCCCTAAGGAGCCTCATCAATTCGAACTTGACCCGGTGGTGACGACGTGTTATGAGGAGGGAGTTGTTGGGGCATTTTCCCAGCACATGTGCTGGTGTTTCAGACTCTCTGCCGCATTTACGGCAGAGGGACCCAACTTCTCTGACCTGTCCGCTGACTCCTGGGACTCCACGCAGGGGTGCATAATTAATGTTTAGTTTTAGGGCATTCGACCATTCAGACCCAGAAAGTACTTGCTTTTCGTAGATGTATCTATTCGCTTTCGGGGTCTCTTTAAAATGGCGAACACCAATACCCTGCCACCTGCAGTTGGCCCATTCCTCAAATGCATTTTCTCGTAGCGACTGCCGTAGAGCTTTCACATTTCGATGACCCTGATCAACCCCCAATCTCTCGGCACATTCAGCAATTTCAGCCGAATAATCGAAGGTAGACTGAAAAAGGGCATCTGGTACATTGGACAGTCGCTGAGCAATGGACCAATGTTGAAGAGGAGCCTCCCATTGGCAGCGGATTAATCCCAATCCTCGGTATCTCCTGGGGGCATACAACATCGCTGTGGAAGTATTCGCAGGCAGTCCAATAATGGCCTTTACGCTCCTGCGAATCATAGTGTCGATGCCCTCCAGTATAGCAGGACGTAGCTTTGTTAGGGGCGCAGTTTGGAGAGGGTAAGTAAGACCCGGGAACAGATATTGATTGACAATGTTGAGTTTCTGCTCAGGTTTAAGTAAGCAAGAGGTTACCAGCTTGTTTAGATTATCATTCAATTTAGTCACCGAATCTTCGTTGAATTGCAGCTCTCCCGAGAATGTACATCCTAAATACTTAATCGTATCTCCATTCTTCAATGTTTGGATGTACTCACCATTCTCAAGGGAGAGCACCGTAGTTTCCAGCTCTCCTTTATTTATAACGATGCCCATACTTTTTAGAGGATTTATAGCCAGACCAATTTCTTTAAATGTTCTTTGTATGCTGTCAATCACTCTTTCTGCAGCCCCCTTGTCACGCGCCGACACTGCCTGGTCATCCGCGAAACCTGTGAGGACCACACAATCTTGCTCATTCCTTAATTTGTATCCAAATTTCTTGGAAAAGTCCTCGTCACACAGGTCGCGGTAGAGATGATCGATGGCCAGGTTGAAGAGTGAAGACGACAGGGGGCCACCTTGGGGTACACCGCGCAGCACTTTGATCTGGCTAGTTGCATGGACACCGTTGCCAATCTTTATGGTGTTCGTGCTAAGGAGAGCTGATATGACATTTGTAAGATTCGGTGACACACCTCTCGCTTCTAAGGAGCTTACGATGTGTTTGTGCCCAACATTGTCAAAAGCACCGACAACGTCGAGGAAAACTATCG